CCCCGCCTCATGGCCTCGCCTCCGAATGTAGATCGGCCGGAGTCTGGCGCCGCAAGGGCGACTTCTTCCCCCCGTTCTGGAGCCGGTCGCCGCGCCTGCGTCCCCACCTGTCGGGATGTGTGGTTCGGTCACCTGCTGGCGCAGTACGCGTCTTCTTTTGTGGTTCGGCTGGAGCTTGGCGCCGAAAGGGCGACTTCTCCCCGCCGTTCCCTGCCGGTCGCCGCGCCTTGACGTCCCCACCCGCTGGGATGCCTGTACCGGTCACCTGCCGACGCCGCTGGCGTCTCAATGAGGGTCATTTTGTCCCTGGCATGTGCATTCGCACTGCGGCCAATTATCTTCGTTCCGCGCCCCGGACGTTGACCCGCTTCATGACCTTCGCCATGGAGCCGCCGACCAAAAAAAATTATCCCCAACACCCCATCCAGAAACAATCTCAGCAATTCTTGACGCTTCGCTTTTCCCCACCGCCCCATCCAGAAACGACGCCCAGGCGAGTTGAGGCGATGAGGTAAACCCCTCCTCGAAGGGGGAGAAGGGGATTGGAAGAGGGGACGCTCTAATCCACATGCGCCCTAAATAAAGGGCTGGTGGGGGTCCCGTAAGGAGCTCCAGAGTCCCCGTTTCTTTCCTCCTCAGTAGCCGTTCTGGTTCAAGAGGGCTCCAGAGAGGCAGTTTCTCACGAACGCGTCAGCTCCGCAAATGACGTCCCCCCTCAGGGACGACGTGAGGGCTTTCGCACGCATTCAGATGCAGAACGACGCGGAAGTGGATCAGCCACAAGGTCAGCTTGTGAGCCGCCTCGGGCCACCCGGCAGCGCGCCTTTTCGGGGGCCTCCTCTGAGTCCAGTCCTCTCAGTGCCTTGGGCGTGTTCCAGTGCTCAGCATTTTGCTCAGACCACAGTCCCTGGGCGTGCTTTCAGTATTCAGCATTTTGCTCATACAGCAATCCACCATCAATGTTCTCAGCGTTCGCAATCTGCTCGGAGTCCTGTCATGATCCGTCTGACCATATGTGAACCCCACTCCTTCCTTTCTCCTTCCTCCTTCCTCCCCCATGCTTTCCTTCCTTCCTCCTCCACCCCCCTCCTCATCACTCCCTCCCTCTTTTGCTCCTCCCTCATCCCTCCCTCCCTCCCTCCCTCTTGCTCTTGCTTCTCCTCTTGCTCCCTCTTACCATTACTAATCCTATCCGTGGCCCCGTAGGGAGCACGAACGAAGGCCCCGTGGCTGCGCCCGCGTGAATACGCGGGCCCATGCTGGCGCGCCCCTCCCACGCGTTGCGTGGTCCCACAGGGAGCTCCATCGAAGGTCCTGCTGGCTGCGTCCGCATGGGCCATCTCTGGCACGCCTATCGCGCGCTTCGTGGCATCGTGGGTGGTCTTAGTTCGTAGACTTTCCTGGGAAATCCACAGCGTGTCTTAGGACAACCTTAGATCTGACTAGGATATCCATACCGCTTCATCTGGAAATGCTTCGCATTTCCTAGAACATCCGCTGCATATCTCCTAGAGATCCCTGGCATCCCTGGGCATCCCTGGCATCTCCTAGAGAATCCCTGGCATTTCGCAGGAAATCCCTGACATGTCATCGGACATTCATAGCAGCCCCCAGGACATCCTGAGCATATCCTTCGCATGTCCTCAGTATTCCCACGGAAATGCGAGGGGCGCTTAGCATCTCCTAGGAGTCTCGGATCCTTGGGATTCCTGAGGCAATCCTCTGCTGGTCCGTGACAGGTCCTAGGAACTGCGCAGCATATCCAAAGGCATCCCCAAGGATTTCTTCTTGCGCGTCGCGCGGCGCGCCGCGGAATTTTGCTTTTTTGATTTGTGCGAGGTGCTAAAGATCTCGCTCTGCGAAAACGACCCCCAGAAAATATCAAATCTTGGTGCGGTGCTCACGATAACCCTGGGGGGGGTTCTTAAAGGCTTGGTGGGGTTACCCAGAGGGCTCGCGAGGGGCTCCGCGGCGCCGAAGCCCAGGATGTCAGGCTCGGCAGGCAGCATCTGAAGGTCCGCCTTGACGAGGTGCAGGCACGCGGGCGTGAACGGGGCGGACCTCGCGCTGAGCCTGGTGCTACTTGGCGGTGTGCTCGGCGGGGAAACCGACCCTGGCCGGAGCTCCTGCACGCCGTGGGCGAATCTGCAGCGTTTCCTCTTGCACCGTCCAAGTTGGATGGCCTTGCACATGTGCATGTTGGTGAAATCGGGGGCCGGCACGAACTCCGACTCAGCGCGGACAAAGTCGCACTCACGGCCATATTTGCACGGGCCCCCAAAGAAATACGAGCACAGCCGGGTCCTGCGCAACCGCGCCGCGAGGGGGGGCGGCTCCGCCGCGCCCTCGCCGTTGGGCGCCAGGCCGCAGGCCGTGGATGCGGTATGGACACTGCGAGAAATGTAGGGCGCTGGGACGAAGTGCCAGCGGTGTGCTTGCTTGGCCAGGCCCTGCAGTCGGCCAAGCGCGGGTGTAGCCCAAACGGCTTGAGTCGAAATGGCTGCGGACGGAGGGAGAAGGGGGAGGATGAGGAGGCGGGAGTGGGGAGGAGGAGGAGGAGGAGGAGGAGGAGGAGGACGAGGAGGAGGACGAGGAAGGCGAGGAGGAGGAGGAGGAGGAGGAGGAGGAGCAGGAGGAGGAGGAAGGGGAGGAGGAGGGAGTGGGGAGGAGGAAGACGAGGAAGGAGTAGGAAGTATGCCAGGAGGGCTTTGGAGACGCTCCGAACGGGGAGGGGTTTTCAGTCAAACGAGTAGTTGTAGCTCCCTTGTCCTTTCATTCGGCGGACGCAAGTTTCAGCGGACTTAGCCCCTTCGGGAGGGGTAGAGGGAAGAGCAGGAGGAGAAGGAGGAATGAGAGAAGGAGGAGCAGAAGGAACTGAGGATCGCGATCGTGGTGATGTTCCAGTGTTTCAGGCAATGCCGCCAGAAGAGTTGATGACGACGCTCCTGCTGGTCCGACTCAGAAGATCAGCGGCAGGTCGAGCTCATGCATCAGCGAATCCAGAGTAACGTGTTCGCTTTCTGCTGCAGGCAGAAACGATGAGTTCGAACGGCGGTCCATGCAGCAGGTCGTCGACTATCGCCAGCGCTCAGGAACTCAGTGGTGGAGATCATTTCGAACATATGGCAAATCTTATGCGTCAGAAGGGTTTCGTGGGCCCTGCGGGGCCGCGATTCTCATTTCAAGCGCGCGCGCAAGAGCATGCAAGAGCGCCAGCGGACGTACGAAAGAACGGAGGACGAGGAGGACGAGGAGGAGGAGGCCAGGAGGAGAAGCAGGATGAGGAGGGGAGGAGAAGGGAAGATGAGAACGAGGCGAGGAGGAAGAAGAGACGCAGTGATGAGGGATAGTGAGGAAGGGAGGACACCCATAAACATCAGGAAATGTTGTGGCTGAGTGCTCCAGAGAACAGGTAACCCCCATTCCAAAACGATCCTCCCTTCATTTCCCCATCTGACGATTGGGGATATCCCTCGTCTTCTTCAAGATTATTCCAGACGCTTCGCGTAACCTCGCCAGCCCATCCAGAAACGATGTCCAGACGAGTTGCCCTGATCAGGCATGTGGGGGAACACGCATTTGACTAAAGGCTGGGAAGCCGTCATACCCAAGAGGAGGATGGATGAGGAACCAGAAGAGGGGGAGGAGGATGAGGACGAGGACGAGGATGAGGATGAGGAGGAGGAGGAGGAGGATGAGGAGCAGGGGGAGGGGGGGAAGGGAGAAGGAAGGAGGGGGGAGGGAGGAAGAGGATAAGGCGGATGAGGACAAGGAGGAGGGGGGAGGAGAGCGAGCAGAAAGATCAGAGGCCTCTTGCGGAGTTTCTTCGGATGACTCTTGAGATCTTCTTGTATGCCTATTGGGGCCTCGTGGCGGCCCTGGGGGCCTTTTGAAGCGTCTTGGGTGCCTCGGGGGAGCCTCTTCGGGCCTCTTGTGGGTCGTCGGGCGTCTTTCAGGGGCTTCCTGGAGACATCTTGCGGGCATCTTGGGGGCCTCTTGGCGGGGTCCATCTTGGGGCCATCTTGCAGGAGATCGATCAAATGATGGTCCGTATTAAGTGAGCCCCCCCTGGGAGGCCAAAATGTGGCCAACAACGCTGTACAATCAGTGATGTTTGTCTTCTTGCCGAGGCCGCCTTGGACAGTTCTTGACGCTTCGCGTATCCCCACCATCCCATCTAGAAACGATGCCCATGAGAGCTGACAGGGGGGAAAAGAGGAAGAGACACGCATAGTCAAACTGCGAGGGAGGCCGGCCTGGACGGTGGGTTGGGGCCTCCTGGGGAGGCTCCGTGGCCATCTCGAGCCGTCTTGGAGCGGTCTTGGGGCCTCTTGGAGCATCTTGGGAGCCATCTTGAACCAGCTAGGGCTATCTTGAGCCATCTTGGAGGTGATCTTGGGCTCTCTGAGGCCGCTCGGGGGTCTCTTAGGTGCCTCTCGGATGTCTCTTGGAGGCCTTTTGGGCTTCTTGGGGCGCTCTTGGAGCTCTCTTAGGAGCCTCTTGTGAGCCCTGGAGGGCCTCTTGGTGCCATCTTGAAGGCGGTCGGTCAAAAGAGAGGGGGGGTCCTGGATGTCTGCCCCCCCCCTCGGGGGCCACGATCCTCGGGAGGGGTGCCAAACATTTGCCCTCCCACTGGCCGCGAAAGGACCCTCTGACACATCGGCCCCCCTCCCAAAAAACCCCAGGGAGGGGAGGGGTAGGGTTCCCCTCCACGAAGGGAAGAGGGGTTATGTAAGAAAAAAGAGATCACCCTCATCCCTCTCCTCCTCCTCCTCCTCCTCCTCCTCCTCCTCCTCCTCCTCCTCCTCCTCCTCCCCTCCTCCTCCTCCTCCTCCTCCTCCTCCTCCTCCCCCTCCACCTCCTCCTCCTCCTCCTCCTCCTCCTCCTCCTCCTCCTCCTCCTCCTCCTCAGGTCCTCCTCCTCCTCCCCTCGCCCTCCCCCCTCCCGCCGTGCACCCACGCGCGTGGCGTCAGGGAGCCGCGGCGCGCGCGCAGGCTGTCCCGAGGCCCGCGGCGGCGGGCGAGGGGCAGCGCGCGGAGAGGAAGCGCCCAGTGTTCGCCTCGGTGCCGGTCGCGGGGCGGCGGGGCGCCATCGGCGCTGGCAGGCGGCGGCGGGCCCAAGTGGGAATGTGGGTCCCAGGAGGGTCCCAGGAGGGTCCCGGGTGGGTCCTGGTTGGGTCCAAATTGAGTCCTAGGTGGGTCCTAGGTGGGTCCAAGTTGGGTCGCGGCATGATGCTGATGATGATGATGATGATGATGATGATGATGATCATAATGATGATTTTGATGATGATGATGGTGATGGTGATGGTGATGGTGATGGTGATGGTGGTGATGATGGCGATGATGCTGGTGATGGTGATGGTGGTGGTGATGGTGATGGTGATGGTGGTGGTGATGGTGATGGTGGTGGTGATGGGGATGATGCTGATGCTGATGCTGATACCGATGCTGATACCGATGCTGATACTGATGCTGATGCTGATGGTGGTGGTGATGGTGGTGATGATGGTGACGTAATGTTGATGACGACGACGATGGTACTGATGATGTTGGTGATGTTGAGGATGACGATGGTGATGGTGATGATGATGACGATGGTGATGATGTTGATGCTGCCGCTGCTGATGATGATTTGTTGATGGTGATGATGGTGATGGTGATGATGGTAATGGTGGTAATGGTAATGATGGCAATGGTGATGATGACGATGGTGGTGATACTGACGTTGATGATGAGGATGATGCTACTGATGATTAAGTTGAAGATGATGATGTTAATACTGATGATGAAACTGATGCTGCTGCTGAGGATGATGATGATGCTGGTGATGGTTTAGATGATGATGCTGATGATGACGATGACGATATCGATGGTGATGATAACGATGATGATGATGATTATGATGATGATGAAGGATGGTGATGATGGTAATGATGGGAATTATGGTAAGGATGATAATGATGATGTTGCTAATGATAATGATTCTGATGCCGATGAGTATGACGATGACGATGGCCATGATGGTGACGATGATGACGATTATGATGATCATGATAAAGAGGAGGATGATGATCATGACGCTGATGGTGGTAATGATAGTTATCATGATGATGAGGATGATGGTGGTGATAGTAAAGAGGATGATGCCGATGACGATGACGATAACAATTATGACGACGATGATGATGATGGTGGTGACGATGATGATGATGGTGATGTTGATGATGATGAAGGTGATCATGATGATGATGATGATGATGATGATGATGATGACGATGGCAGTGGCGATGACAATGCTGATAATGACGACGACGATGACGGTGATGATGACGATGACGATGATGATGATGATGATGGTAATGATGGAACTGATGACGATGACGATGACGATGTTGATGATGACGAATATGCTGACGATGATAGTGGTGATGAAAATGGTGATGATGATAATGATGACGATGATGATGGTGATGATGACGATAATGATGGTAAACATGGTAATGATGATGATGGTACTGATGGTAATGATGATAATGACCATGATGACGATGACGGGATGGTAATGATGGGAATCATGATGATACTCCTGATAATGATGGTAATGATGGGAATCATGATGACGATGAAAATGACGATGACGATGACGATGATGATTATGATGATGACGAAGACGAAGACGATGGCGATGAGGATGAGGACGATGATGGTAAGGATGGTAATGATGATGGTGATGACGACGATGACGATGATGAAGATGATGATGATGATGATGATGATGATGAGAGTGATGATGATGATGATGATGGTGATGCTGACGATTACGATGACGACGTTAATGATGTCGATGATGATGATGATGATGATGATGATGATGTCGATGATGACGACGATGATCATGATAATGATACTGACGATGATGATGATACTGGTGATGAGTATGATGGTGATGATGATGATGGTGATGATGATGGTGATGATGATGATGGTGTTGGTGATGATGATGCTGGTGCTGATGCTGATGCTGATGACGATGATGATGATGATGATGATGATGATGATGATGATGATGATGATGATGATGATGATGATGATGATTATGATAATGATGATCATGAGTGGATAATGGACCATAAAGGACCCCTAACAAATCCTAAGTGACCCCTCAGCTGTCACGTTCCTCCGAGGCGGGGACTTGACCGCAACCACAGCCTGGGGGACCCCTGACTTCGGATCCCGTACTTGGGGCGATTACGTTCAAGGTCCGAGACTTTTGGGGGCGTTTCTGTCGGTTCTCAACGGTTTTCCAGCCTCGGGACGCGTTTCAGCAAGTGCGCCTCGCCGAGAGCGTTCTGGGGATGCCCGGATCGTCCCGATCGGCCGTCGGAGAACCGAGCAGCAGTCTGCGGCCAGCCCAGAGGGGAATGCAGAGGGGGCGGGTCTCCTCAGAAGGCTCGGACGACTTCGGGCCTCCTGAGGAGCCTTCCAAGCCTTCGTCGAGGACAGAGGCGGCTGTTCAGAAGGCCAGACGGCTTGTGAGAAGCCCCGCCGCCTTCTGAGAAGGCCTGCCCCCTCTCACTTCCCGCCGGGCGCGCCTCCGAAGCAGTCCCCCTGACTTAGGATCCTCCATGCTTTGGGCGATTTCGCAAGTATCGCGGAAATGTCCGCCCTACCTGTTGGGCTCCTTTGATGTCGACCTTCGCTCCACCTTGCCAACGCTGCTTCCGCCATGCTTCTACGGCAATAGCCGCCCTGCATCTCTGACGCGGAAAAGGGAGAAAGTCCGCCCTAACTTGTCGCATCGTTTTCTCAAGGGGCCCTGGGACACACAAATGAATACACACAAATCCCAAGACTCCCCACATTTTTCTATATTTTTTGCATTCTCGTCTTCCCCCCCCCTTTTCCCACATTTTCCCATATTGTTCCTGGGGATCGACGATTCATTGTGTCCGTGTGCTCTCTACCCCTCCTGACTCTCGTTGCGCGAATCCTCGACACACGCGCAGGGGGAGGCCTTTTTCTTCGACCCGCCAGCCTCGGGCGAGCCCCCTGCGGACCTCGGCTGCCCCCTCGGGAGCAAGGAGGCCCGGCGCTGGCTGCACAGCTCCCACATCCTGCTGTTGGGTCGGGCATGTCCTCCTACAGGCGGACTGTGGACGGAAAACAAAAATCCTAAAATAAGCGGAAAGAATTGAAAATAGTAGAAAAATCATCCCCAGACTATTTTTTGACTATTTTGGAATATTCCTCCTGTAGAGGGACAGGCCCGACTTAAGCCTCTTGCCCCGAAGCCTGGACTCCTGGGCTGCCCTGCCCAGCCGTGGCCAGCCCCCGAAACCCGAGCAACTTGGCTGCCTACGGCAAAGTTCGCGCCGTGTCGACCCCGGCGCTGGTTCCCTGACACCTCGGGGGTCGTGCAAGCTGGAACGATCGGCCGTTCCGTGAGCGCCGGATCGTTCAACGACGGGCCGATTCTGGGCCACGGGCGGCGTTCAACCTTGTACGCGCGCGGCGGGGTCGCCGCGGGTCGGCACGACGCGAACCTGCCGCACCCCGAGAAGACCTGGACAGCTTGCAAGCTGTCCAGGTCTGCACCCGCACCTCGGCTGCACTCCACACCTCGGCTGCACCCGAGAGTGACCCTGTAGGCCAGGGTGACCGTCAGTGCGCGGCTGATGGGGGGCGCAGCGTGGCCAAATCCAAGCGCGCAAGCAGCCACTATCGCATCGCGCTCAGCGATCGGGGGACCCCGGTGAGCCCGCACCAAAGGCCACTCCGGCGAAGGGTCACTCTTCAATGTAGTCGAACACCCCTCGGGCTCCTGCTGACCCGGGTCACCCAGGCTGGTCAGGCTTTCTACAGGATCCTGCAAAACCCTGCAAGATCCTGCAGGATCCCGCGCGCTGACCCAGGTCAATGCAAATTCCTGGCTTTGCAAGAGTCGGCAAGATCCCCAGCGCTCCGGCTGACCCCCGTTTGCACTGACCCCGATCTCAAGGTTCCCGATCCCCTCTTGCGAACCGCCCAAGGGATCTGAGGGCACAAAAAGTCCCCTGGGGAAGCCGAAAGGTACCAGACTCCCCAGACCTCTCTCGGGGTGCGTTCTGACCAGAATCTCGAGGCAAATCCAGCGGTGGCGACGAGGGCCTCACACGATGCCCAAAAAGGCGAAAACGAGGGAAGGGTAGCGGTACCGCTGCCCAAACCCCCGACGTCATGATTTTTTCATGACGCGATCCCCAAAGGAGGTCCTGACCCATTGCCGGGGACCGGTTTTTCGTCCTGACTCGTTTTTGGACGGTCCCGAGGCCTGGAAAGGGCCCCGGGGGGGCCGAAAAGCACGAGAAACCTCCCGCCGTGATTTTTTTGTCACAACGCGAAAAGGGGGCCTGGCCGCCTCTGCCCCTCTCCCGTGCGACGCCGCCGCCCGGTGGCCTCGTGGGAGCCGCCGCCGCGCAGAGCGGCCAGCGGCGGCCGCAGGTCGCGGCGGCACGTCGGGCACAGCGCGCAGCGCCTGCGGGCGAGCGGGCCGCGCGGCCCGTGGACGCCATGCTGGCGACGAGCAGCTGGTGCGGGGCACGTCGGTGTCGTCGTCGTCGTCGGCGGCGTCGGCGGCGTCGGCGGCGTTGTCGCTTCCCCATCACCAGATAGATGATGTTGTGGCTGTGGATGACGACGACGGCGATGGTGATGATGATGATGGTGGTGGTGATGGTAATGAGGACGGTGGTGATGACGATAAAGATGGTGATAACGATGATGCTAACGATGATGATGATGATGATGATGATGATGATGATGACGATGATGACGACGATGATGATGATGATGATGATGCTGATGCTAATGATGATGACGATGGCGATGACGATGACGATGATGATGGTGATAATGATGATGGTGAAGATGAAAATGATGATGATGGTGATGACGATAGTTGATGAGGATGGTGGTGATGATGATGGTGATGATGACGGTGATGACGATGGATGAAGAGGATGGTGGTGGTGGTGATGATGATCATGATCATGATCATGATGATAATGGGTATGGTGATGATGGTGATGTTGGTGATGGTGGTGGCGACGGTGATGGTGATGGTGATGGTGATGATTGTGATGATTGTGATGGTGATGGTGATGGTGGTGGTGTTGGTGATGGCGGTGGTGGTGGTGCTAACGATGATGATGATGATGATGATGATGATGACGATGATGATAGTGATGATGATGGTGGTGGTGATGATGATGATGGTGGCGACGGCAATGGTGATGGTGGTGATGGTGATATTGATGATGATAATGGTGTTGATGATGATGATGATGGTGGTGATGCTGATGGTAATGGTTATGATGGTAATGATATGGTTGTGATGATGATGATGATGATGATGATGATGATGATGATCTGGGTTCAAGCTTACAGGGGTCAGGAGCAGGATGATGATGCTAATGATCATGATGATGACGACGATGACGACGATGATGATGACGATGATGATGGTGATGATGACGAGGCCGATGACGATGGCGATAAACGTTATGATGATAATGATGACGAGGATGATGATAACGATGTTGGTGATGATGGGGATAATGATGACGACGACGATGATGATGATGATGATGATGCTGATGATCATGATGATGATGGATCTGTTGATGATGATGGTGATAACGATGATAATCATGATGATCATGATGCTGATGATGGTGACGATGACGATGACGATGACGATAATGATGCTGATACTGATGCTGATGCTGATGATGATGATGGTGATAATGATGATGATGATGATGATGATGATGATGATGATGATGATGGTGATGATGGTTGTAATGATGATGTTGCTGCTGCTGCTGATGATGATGATGATGCTCCCGATGCGGCTATAATGTGTTTTAGTTGGGTCTCGGGCTCACGTGGGTCTTAATCAGGTCGCGGGCTCACGTGGCATGATGACGCCGATTCTGAGGTGTCCCTGGCCCAACAGAATTTCAAGCGAGGGGGGCCAGGGCCTCTAGAACACCGCTCGTGAGATCCAGAGGGCCTCAGGAACTCTGAAGAGGGGCGAACAGCTGGGGGCACCTTGGGCCGAGGATACCAGTGGCAACACCCGGCAAAATAATCTGAATCGATCTCATCGGGCTGCCCGATCGATTTTGGCATGGCTTTACTACAGCAGCAGACATGCTACTCGGTGTTTGCATCGACTCGGTGGTACGCATGCAGGCGTGCCATGTTTGGGCACCGCATGCGTGGCCTGGCTCCAGTGGCAAGGGAAGAGGAGGACGACGACGGGAAAGAGTGAGTGGGGAGGGAGAGGGGGCGAGGAGCAACACGAAGCTCACCGAAAATCCCGGCTGACGACTCCATCTGCTAACCCTGAATTCGTCGTCCTCCGCACTTGCAACCCGAGAGTTCGATGGCTCACTTCACGTTGCCGCGACAGACGGTTGAGGGAAGAAATTGAGCAACACTCCCTCCCTCCCTCGCGATTCGAGGCTGGCACGTCCCGTGAAGACCGCTCGGAGGCCCACAATCGGAAGATCCAAAACCGACACTGCACCTGGGGGGAGGGGGAGAAGGGAGTTCGAACCATGCGTTTCGCATGAGCGTTGCTCAATTGTTTCCGACGGGTGGACAACGACGAGCAAGTCCAAGAGACCAGGGCGGCCGACGCCGGTGCACTTCAGAGGCGGCAGCCCCGCCCAGTGGGGCACCCAGGCGTGTCTCCGCGGGGCGGTGCGGGCGCATCCTTCGGCACCTGCTGCAAGCCTCGTCAGAAATATCCAGAAATTGAAGTTGAAATCCTGGAGCACGATGCTTTCGGGCACTTGTCAGAAAGCGCGTTCTTCAGTGCTGAGAGGGTGGGGTCGGTTTTTGGACAACTCCGCGTCCGAGTCAACAGGCATCCATCGGCATTGGAGTAGCGCTGACCCCACAATCACCGAAATCAGAAGTCTTCTGTTTATTTTGACGAGGCGTGTAGAATTGCTGCTACCGTTGAAGGGAAAAAACGTTGCATCAAGAGTTGGGGGGCAACTTCGAATACACCCCTCCGTCCGACCCCCCCCCAGGCCTTGCCGTTGAGCAATATTGGCTCCAGAGATGTGCGGCCCGAAGAAAATGGAACCCAAGATCTCGATCGCAACGCATCAAATATCTTGAGGCTGGCGGGGTGGAGGGGGGGAATTCCGTGCTTTGTCGTCGGAGCGTTGCTGATGCTAAGTTATTTCCTTCAATCGCATGTTCATTCCCACCGATGGAGGGCGGATGGTTTTCAAGATCCGCCGACCCTCAGACGTGAGTGAGACGCTTTTCCATTCGAGTCGGCGTGGTCGCCAGTCCACACCAACTTGAGAAACAAGGGAAAGGAACGTCGCAATTGAGTCAATTCCCGTCCCAACATATTCCTGCCCTGCCGGGGGGGGCGGGGGGGGGGTACGGGAGCGGGCCGTCCAGGGAGAACGGGGAGGGCCGGGTCAGACTACCGCCCCCCCCTGGGGCCCCGCGGGACACGGGGGGGTCGCCAGTCAAGGTCCCCAGGGAGGTCCCGCCTTCTGGGTCGGCGGCACCGGCCATTATGGCCTTCGCAGTCTGGTTCTCGCCTGTAACGTCCTGAAGTATATATATATATATATACACATATATATATATACATATATAACCCCGTGGTGCTGATAAAAAAGGACCCCACCCTTTCCAGGTTAGAGTTGATTATCCACGGCCAATAAGAGTTTGGTCAGGGCCGCGGGGCGCGGAGGCCGAACTTCTTTACCACTGTGAAAAGTTCACCATCGAGCTCAACTTCCTTGTTATGTTGAGATAGCAACATCAAACGAAGCGAAGACGTTGTCGAGGATGTCTCAAGCGAAACCAACAATTGTTGGAGGCAGCCTCAAGCGAAACGATCAGTTTTTCAAGGATGTCTCAAGCGGAACCAACAGTACTTCGAGGATGTCTCAAGCGAAGCGAGAGACTTGTCGATGGTTTCTCAAGCGAAACAAGCTTTGACCGCGTGCTGCTGATAAAAAAGGACCCCCCCTTAACACGCTAGAGTTGATTATCCACGGCCAATAAGAGTTTGGTCAGGGGCGCGGAGGCCGAACTTCTTTATCACTGTGAAAAGTTCACCATCGAGCTCAACTTCCTTCTTATGTTGAGATGGCAACATCAAGCGAAGCGAAGACGTTTTCGAGGATGTCTTAAGCGAAGCCAGCATTTTTTTGAGGCAGCCTCAAGCGAAACGATCAATGTTTCAAGGATGCCTCAAGCGGAACCAACAATTATTCGAGGATGTCTCAAGCGAAGCGAGAGACTTGTCGATGAGAGAATTCTTCCTCCTCCTCCTCCTCCTCGTCATCCGCCTCCTCCTCTCTCGCTTGTTTGTTTTCTCTCTCTCTCTCTCTCTCTCTTTCTCTCTCTCTATATCTCTATTTCTCTCTCTCTCTCTCTTTGTCTCTGTCTCTCTCTCTGTCTTTCTCCTTCTCCCCCTGGCCCCTCAGAACTTTTTTTTGTTAATCGCTGTGGTTTACTATCCACGGAAACCGAGGCACATGAGGCACCCTACACGAGCAGATGAAAATCTTAATTTCCATTGTTTGTTTACAAATTAGACTTGATAGGTTTAGAACTTTGGCTTTTCTCTCCTCCTCCTCCTCCTCCTCCTCCTCCTCCTCCTCCTCCTCTCTCTCTCTCTCTCTCTCTCTCTCGCTCCTTCTGTATGTCTATATTTCTCTACTTATCTCTCTCTCTCTCTCTCTCTGTCGAACTATCTGTATATTTCTGTTTCTGTCTCTCTATTGTCTTCCTCCTTCTCCCCCTGGCCCCTCTGAACTTGTTTTATCGCTGTGGTTTATCATCCACGGAAACCGAGGCACATGAGGCACCCTACACGAGCAGATGAAAATCTGAATTTCCATTGTTTGTTTACAAATTAGATGCACTAGATTTGGAACTTTGGCTTTTCTCCTCCTCCTCCTCCTCCTCTCTCCTTCTGTCTGTCTATCTTTCTCTACTTCTCTCCTCTCTCTCTCTAACTATATGTATCGTTCTGTCTCTGTCTCTCTCTGTCTTCCTCCTTCTCCCCCTGGCACGCTGGACCTCGATCCTCGATCTTCGATCTTCGATCTTCGACCCTCGGACCTCTATCCTCGATCCTCGGACCTCGCCGCCGTCGATCCTCGGACCTCGATCCTCGACTCTGGGATCTCGATCCTCGATCCTCGGACTTCGATTCTCGATCCTCGATCCTCGGCTTTCGGTCCTTTTAACATCATCTCTTTCTCCTCCCACATGCTGGCCTCCGGTAGGCAAGATTGATAATCTCCCCGCAGCCCCGAACTTTATTATCCCTGTAGCATTAATCTCGGGGGCACAGGGTTATATATATATATATATATATATCCGAGGATGAAGCCCCCAACAGCCACCCAGAGGGGGGGCAGGTCGTCTCCAACATCTGGTTGTCGCTTGAAACATCGTTATGTTGTCTAGCCGCCTTAGGCT